ACTAGCATGGCGGAGGATAACTTTTCTTCGGTCCGTCGTCCGGTACACCCTAACATTGTCTTATGTTCTGTCTCTCTGGACGATTCCATTGATGAACTTGGAAATAAACTCATATCCTTAAGAAGTTTGTGGGCTAAGAAAGTAAAGTCTAAGGGCAAGCTAATCATCGCAGACATTAAGATTGCACGTACACAAGGAGGTGCCTTGTTAGACCGAGGATCGACGAGATCCGACATCTCAGAGAAAGCGATACGCAAGTTGCCTCTGGGAATGAGGGTAAAGGACTTGCCTAGACCTATCACGTCTATGTTGACTGACAAGAGCACGATCACCGTCTCTCAATATATTGATCGTATAAATTTTAATTTTCGAACTAAGGAAGGTAAGAAAAATTTGCATGAAGCATCCTTCCTAATTGAAAAGAACTTGGCCTTTGACATGATTCTAGGAATAGATTGGCACGAGGAAGTCACCCCAAAAGTCAAGTTTAAGGAAAAGATTGTAAAGTTAAAGGACGAAAAGTCCGAACTCAAAGCGATTAAATTGTATCATAAGACTGGGTCTGACTCGTCATTGTCTTTTTGTTGTATGAGTTATCCAACATTTTGATCAATGGTCTCAAAGAAGAAGTTGGATCATGATGTGATGATGATTCTCATTAAACGATTATTAAGTGAATGTTCCTCATCATACCCACCTTCTATTGAAAAGCTTATTTCTGAGTTTAAAGACTTGCAGAGTGAACCGACGAGAATCACTGAGTGTGCTACTAAGCACACTACCGAGACTATTCTCGGAAGTAAGATTCTCAAAGGACCCATCTATCGAATGTCTCCTAGGGAATAAAAAAATTAAAAAAATAGTTGCAAGAACTAACTAAGAAATAATGGATTCGACTTGTTTCTCTCCCTATGGCGAACCTATTTTGTTTGTGCCCAAAAAGGAAAGAGAACGAAGGTTGTGCATTGATTATCGAGGATTGAACTTCGTCACTATCAAGAACGCAAAGCTCCTTCCTTGCATTGATGCTGGATCAACTACGGGGTTGTAAGTATTTTAGCAAGATTGATCTCAAGTCGGGGTACCACCAAATTGAGGTGGCTCCTGAAGATCAACACAAAATGACTTTCCGAACCAGGTATGGACAGTATGAGTTCATTGTTATACTTTTAGGATTAATGAATGCACCTATAACTTTCCAAAGATCTACGAATGAGTTGTTTAGACAATGGTTGAACCAGTTCGTAATGATATATCTCGACGACATCCTCGTGTATAGTAAGACAATGGAGGACCATGAGAAACACCTACGGATGGTACTTCAGAAGCTACGCGAAGATAACTTTAAATTGAATCCTAAGAAGTCCGAGTTTGCTAAGACTGAGGTATTGTACTTAGGGCATATTGTAAACGATGAGGGAGTAAGGTCTGAAAAGAAAACTATTACAATAATATGAGATTGGCCCAAAACAAAGACTATTACAAAACTCAGATCTTTAATATTACTTGCTAGTTACTATAGGAAGTTCGTAAGAAACTTTTCATTGATAGTTGCGCCTATGAAAAAACTTCTGAAGACAAAAAACCTTGGTTATGGAACAAAGATTGTGATTCTTCGTTCAAAAAGTTGAAACATGTACTAACTCACTGCCCTGTCTTAAAGATTGTTGATCCTTCTCCCCTTTTCATTGTTACCACTGACGCAAGTCTGTATGAAATTGGGGTTGTGCTATAGCAGAATGACAGTAAGGGATACAAACCCATTGACTTTATGTCTAAAAGACTTTCATTTGAAAAAGTGACAAACTCTACTTACGAAAGGGAATTGTATGCCTTGGTTGTTGCACTGGACACATGGAAGCACTACTTGTTAGGGAGACACTTCATTATCTATTCAGACCATTCTACTTTGAAGTGGATTAAAACCCAACCTCGACTCTCTGACAAGTTAGTAGCTAGATGGTCCGCTTTCATTGACACATTTTACTTTGAACTGAAAACAATTAAAGGAAAGACTAATGTGGTTGAGGGTGTTTTGTCTAGGCGCTGTGTTTCCAAAAATCGATTCAACATGGATTCCACGTTGAAAGATTCAACGCGCGTTGAATCCTCGTTGAAAAGCCCGTTAGATGGGTTATAACGGGCCCGACGATGATTTTTTTCGCAAGCTAAAAAAAAAAAAAAAACAATAAACAAAATACAGGGTTGTAGATCTTTTTGAGCTCTATAACGTCATTTTTTATTTTTATTTTTTTAGTTTTTACTATATTTAAAAAAAAACAAAAACATAAAGACGATGGAAAAAAAAAACAAATGAAATGAGTTTTTTTTTTTTGGTTACACAAAAATATTTTTAAAGCAAAAAAAAACAAACTGAAAAACAAGCTAAAAGTATAAGGTTATGGACATTTTAAAGATGTATAACATCTTTGTTTTTGTTTTTTTTTTTACTTCATGTATTAAAAAAAAAAACATAAAAGCAAATAAAAAAAGGAAAAATAGACACGCACGCACACACAGAAACACACAACACACACAAACACACATAAACACATACACACATGCACACACACACACACACACACACACACACCAACAATCATGCGCACACACACACACACACACACACACACACACACACACACACACGCACACTTGCAAACACACACATACACACGCGCTTACATACATATTAATGCACAGACACACTCTCACACGCAGGCACACACATACACACATGTGCACACACACAGCACACCGGGGGCGAGGTCCCACTAGCAATGGGATAGAATAGAAACGAGTTTGTGGGGCAGTTGAGTGACCGAAATTCTGTCGTGCAGTACTCATGATCCCACTGTCAGTATTTTACTTGTATTACCCGAAAAAGTAAGGAAATCTTCGTTCCCCTCCGCCTCTCCTTAACACTAGGCATGCCCGTGCAAAGAAAGTTTCCTGCTAGAATCTTTTCAATCGGTTGGGGTTGTGGCCAACCCCAAACGAGGGTGGGGTCGGCCTTCAAGTTAGGCCCACTGGATAAAAGATTTTCAGTATTTTACTTGTCGTTGTGCAATTATCTCATTGGGTGGAGCCCTCCTTTAATCACAGAGTATATGGAGGGTGTCAGGATCAGTGCCGACAGCAGTCAAGTTTATTCCAGAAAATGTGGCGGTTACTTTGTTCACTTTTGTTGCAACCACCACCATCAGATCATTGTGATCTGATGGCTGGGAAGCACTCTGGCGTGATTTCCGGTAGGAAGTCTTTGTTTTTTTTTTTTTTTACCTTTCTTCTGTTTTCTCGGCCCAGAAATTCGTAATGAACCTGTCAGGCCGCTGCCACTCATTGTCACACTGGATCGACCACACTCCTATCCGACTGCTAATGGGACCTCGCCCCTACACACACATAATTGGGGCCTTGGGGGTTGGGGGATGTGGAGGCGGATGACTTAGAGGGCTTCCGGGTAGCTTTGGAGACTAGTGTCGCGGGGGTGGTGAGTGGCGGG